TGCTGGTGCTGGTGCTGGTGCTCTTGCTGGTGCTGGTGCTGGTGCTCTTGCTGGTGCTGGTGCTGTTGCTGGTCCTATTGGCGATACCGAGCGTGGGTGAGCGAACTCTTGGGAAGTCTGAACCTACGTTTCTACGTCCCTGCGCCTTTGTACAGTGCTTGACCCCACCAAGACGCGCTTGCGTCAGGTTCGACTTCCAGCCTCGCAGATTGCAGCCTTGCAGCCTCACAGCTCATCCAGCACGGTGAGGGATGTGTGTATGTATGCGTGTATGCTGAACCTCAACGCATGGTCCGTGGCCAGAGGATGCAGGCAGTGGAGTGCTTGCTCTTCTCACGCGGACTCATGGACTGTAGCGGTATTGTCTGGGCAGTGTACACCCTCACAGCGGGTGGAGATGCGCACCGAATATTCAGGATAAAAACAAACTAGAAAGTTGATGTATGTTGGATGCTGATGCCGCCTATCGCATTATGCACCCGCGTTGCACAGTGCATGTTGGGTATGGATCACGACAAGCAGAGGCAGTGACAGGCAGTGACAGGCAGTGACATTAACAGCGCAGAGGCATAAGAACGCTTTCTCAATATGCGCCCACTACGCGGCTTGCACGCCTGATATGTATGCCACGGAGGCGATACTACGTGCCTAGTGCTGTGTCTTGTACTGCACAGGCTCTTCAACGAGGCTTCAGTCTCGGCTTCAGCTTCAATCCCAGTCCAGTACCTTGTGACCATGTACGAATCCAATACTCGGTACTGGGTGTCCTATCGCGAAAACTTGAAGACTTGAACGTATTTCGTCTTTCCTTACCGTCTCTTCTCTTCCCTTCTGGCCCATGCCCTTTTCTTCCATTACATTCCCTCCCTTGTATTTCCTCCTCCACCTCCTTCTTCTCCTCCCCTCTTCATTCGGCTCGGCCATCGACCTCTCGAATTTAGAAAAGAGACGAGACGACACGGAGATGACGCGCCAGCTAGGACGCAGTATCTATACACTTCTCCTGCCCGGCCTTACCCTATCTTCTATACTGACACAGCCTCATCGCCTTATATAAGCGCGGTATAGTAGAGGGCAGTAAGTACTTTTATACAGTACATATACTCGTAACGCTACCGCGAGGTCATACGCTTACATATATATATATAGATATATAGATACAAGTTAAGACCATGATATTCGGCATAACCACGTAGTCATTAAGTCATTAAGTCATCAACTGTTAGGGACGGCCTAAGGCGATAGGCAGAGAGTAACAGTTAAGGGTCTCGATAGTATTAGGTATCCCTAGACCTCTAGGTCATACAGGACTCGAAGCATGAGAGGAGGATGGGACTCTCATACGAGAGGCGCGAGAGTTGTATGCGTCCTCTTAGCAGGCTTAGTAAGCTCTAGTAGCTGTTCCTGACATCAACTCGCTAGGTCACTGTATACAGTATATAATTATCCCGGGCGAGGAGAGCGTCTTTTCGTCTCCTCTCTTCCCGTCTCCTCTCGTCCTGATTATCTTGTCTGGCTGCCCGCCTACCTATAGAGAACGTGATCTGCCCTCGAGTAATTAAGCAAGCAAGCAAGCAAGCTAGCCGGCTAGCTAGCCAGCTAGTGTACTGTAGCGAGCAAGCGAGCAAGCGTATAAGCAGAGGTGAATATGATGATACAGTAGAGTAGAGTAGAGTAGAGTACCTAGGTAGAGAACAGGTCTAGCAGAAAATCATCATCATCATTATCCTACTCCGTATGTACCCTGTACCCCGTAGTCGTCACGGGAATCTGCTCTATTTATCACGTAAAGAGTCCTTAGCCGGGTTGGCCATCTCTTCTGCAGCCACCTCTTCTCCAGCCACGACGGCGAAAGTCTGCGTCGAGGTCCAAAATTGAGGAGAGACCCTCCTCCTTACATTACCACCCAACTGGCTAGTTGGCATTCGCGATGTGTCATGATCATTATATGTGCAGCAATAACGACCTTGTCAGCATCTGGTTGATCATCACTCTTTCGCTCTTCATCAATATCTACAAAGACTGCTGCCAAGGCATGCCTGCGGCCCCTACTTTCAAGCTCATCAACTGCATCATTAGTAGACTCGGTCGACGGCAGTACTGCATCTTCACAGTCCTCCTCTGCCCTCCCGCCCTTCCAGCTAGAAGACCGGACCCTTCCTAGTGAACTAATCCCTTGTTCAAGGCAACGTTCCGGTCTAACCCGGCTTGATCCTTTTCGCTGAACTCAATGCCCAGCTCGTCCAGGCCGTCGGTACTGCTCATGGCGCCGCCGAGCAACGATCCCACTTTACGCATCATGCCGATACTCCGGCGTATGCTGCTTCTGTGGCCTGCTTCATCATCATTGGCGCGGCTGCTGCCCACGACGGCGACTTCCCCGCCCGTTGGCTTGTCGCAGTGTTCCTTCCGCCATTTTGCAAAGGTGGAGGATTTTCGTCCTCTCTTGACGTCTGCCGCGAGCGGAGCGCTGGGCTGGGGAGGCCAATTGCCCTCGGATTTCCAACCCTCCACGAGAGCGGGGATCATATGGCTGAGTGGGATGGGGATGTTGGGAGACAGTCCCTGCACCACGATTTTGCTGTAGATTGTCGGATACGCGGCGGGTTTGATCTTTTCGCTGATTATATCATCTTTCGGCAGCATTGGCGGGTATATTGGAAGCCACGGGCCTGGCTCGGTAGTCGAGGACGACGGGGATGCCGGTACCGTGGTGGGAAAAGGCGTAAGGGGAGTGCTGGGTTCGACAGTTGTGTTTGTCGTGGTACGCGTGGTGATGCCAGGAGAAGCCGCTTCCACGCTGTCTATACTGGAAGATTCTGGGGTGGGAGAGACTGGTGAAGCTGGCCAGCTTGAGCCGCCATCCGTCGAAAGCGACTGGGATTGAGAATGAGTGTGTGAGTGGGCACGCGGGTTGGTGTCGGCTGTCTTGTCCCGGACAAACACTTGGGACAGCCGGGATTTGTAGGATGGTCGCTTAGTCGTCGGAGAGGGCCGTCTCTCGGTAGGTTTGTTACTGTAGGGCCTATGCTGTAACGCTCCTGTCCATGCATCCCGCCTTTCCTGCCAGATCCTGAGTCCTTCATTGTATGCCATCTCTTCTTCTACCTGTTTCCTGCGTTTTCTTCTGCGCTCGCTTATGACATCCCCAACCGTGTCGGGGCTCTCGAATTTGTAGGGATCGCTCTTTGATCGTCGTTTGTTGTGTGACATCTCGGCTTCGAGGTCGGATTGAGCCTCCTCTCGCAAGCGGAAGCAGATGGGTTCGCGAGGCGGAATTCTTTTGGTGTCGTCTGCTGGTAGTTCCGGCGGGAGATTCGGCCAGTCCCAGTCGTCTCGGACTAACGACAGTATCATTCGTCGCGCGGCCCGGGCGGCCTCTGTTCTGGACATTGGGTCGACCGTCACTGGAGGGGATAGGGCAGCTTCCGAGTATTGCGAGCTTGCACTGGAGCCTTTGCGTAACCGCTGAGTCAAGTTGTGCAGAAAGGGGGCTGCTCCATGGCCGTGGCCATCGACAGACGGTGGAGGCGGCGAGTGAGACATGGAGACGGCAGTCCAAAGACACGCCGGAGAGCGCCGTCAAAGGCTATTCAGAACGTGGAGGGAGAAACCGGTGAAGGAACGTCCAATATCAGATCAATGTGATAGCTGGTGCAGATGGGAAGGGATTTGCGGTGCAAGTAAGCTCATGTGGCAGGTGATGCCGGGTTGTGCAACGACAGAGGAAGAAGAAGGTTGAGGCGGTGGTCACATTATGTGGGAAGACGCACACGATCATCAATGAATATGGAGGCAGTTGCCTTTTCCAGAAGTCCAGACGCCCAGACGCCCAGCAAGCGGCGAGGTGGCGGCGTTGCGAACCCCACGACCTTTTAGCCGGAGCCCGGCATCACCGGATTGGCCTTATGCCTAGGCGATTACGCAAGCCCATTCGATCCGGCCTATTGGTTCCTTCGGCGCTTCTCCGCAAATCGTTCAAGCGTCCAGAGCGCTGCCCGTGCAAATCTGGGGTAAAGAATCTTGCATCTACCTCGTACGAGTACTGGGTACCCGAGGGAGAGAGAATTCGGCTGCTGCGGGTGCAGTATCCTACGCCGCTCAGCAAAACGTGATCTCAGCGTCATGCTCCTGCAGGATTTGTTATGCTTCTCCTCGGTCATCGTGATTTTGATTTCGCCCCATCTCTAGGTCCGTTCTTCGAGCTCTTTCCACCAGCTGTCTCAGCTCTGATGATAGTCTGAATTGCCATGAGACCGGCCGTCTTCCAGGTGCCAAATTCAACCCTGCCAATGCGTCCAGCACGTCACTGCTGAATTGACTGGATAGCAGAAAAGGGGGTAACGCTTCTTTCGGACCAAGTCTGACATGCGCTGGCGCTGGCGGCGTGATAAGCTGCTCTCGGGAGCGTTCGACAGAGATCGGCCGGTGCGAGATGTGTTTGTGGTTGGTCCACCGAATTCGGGTCCAGCGCTTCATTCGAAAAAACCAGAATGGAGACGCTAGATACGAGTATCTCAGAATCCACGCGATACAGACGACAATACATATGGCGATTCCGACCCAAGCTCCAGGAGAAAGAAGGCCGCGTTGATTGTGAGGCTGCACGTATGAGACGCCCTGAGTCGGAAGCGAGGCTGCCGCGGCTGATGTGGACATTCTTTGGAGACCTGGCGCGTGTCAGTGGCTGAACGTGTAACGGGACCGGTCGTTGTAGATGCATGTCGCGGAGCCCAGGGAGGCGAAGATATGGCAGCCTTTGTCCGTTCGATGACGAAGAACATAACTGCACCATCACATTGTCACTGCGGAGTGAAGGCTAGTCAAGAGGCTCTGAGCCAAACAAGGGTGAATATACAAGAATCCAGACTGACGCATCAAGGCTCGTCCAGGCTCCTTGAACAGACGAGCTTCGCCATTTACGGCGGTGAAGGCTCGAGCATGTGAATCGTATGGTAGTGACAAGACTATGAAGGATATGGTATGTGCTTGCTGCTGCGAGTGAATCGAGCTCCAGTCCGACCGCGCGGGAATGGTCAGACTTGCTACCGGTGACTGAGCGCAATGCAGAGAGTAATGCCAATTGACGAGAAGAAGGGCAAGAGTGAGACCTTCATCAACTGTCCTTATTGTTCGCTATATGTACAAGTGGGACTGTGGCATTAACAGTGTACAATGGCCTCCTCCAGCTTCGACTGCGGCCGCTGGGCGCTGCAAAACCCAGATGCGGAACGAGGACGGGCAAAGTCTAGACTGCGGGACATATCTGGCCCGGATCATAATCATCGGGCTAACCTCTATCATCAGGTCCTACGCGTCCGAGTCGTGGTGTCTGCTGGCAGATGCAGAAGCTCTGACCTTCGCGCGCTCAAGGTAACGCCTTATATCATACCGGGTCGTCCTCTTTGCTCCCTTTCCCGCTGTCGTCTATGTCTCTATCTCCGGCCCCTCTCACGAATGGCAGAATCCCATCTGCTCTTCCTCTCTAGGTGTGTATCCGTTTCTGGTATGCTGAAAAATGGAGCAACACCAACCACAGCGCAATTATGTTTGCAATGTAATGCAACCGGTACGCGTATGTCATGCCGTACAACGCCGCATATACAGCCAGAACGAAGAACAACAGGTTCGTCGCCCATCTGAATGACCGCACAGATGGTACCATCATGCCACTCGACAATGTCTCCACCAAGAGAATGAAGGGCATTATCGACAATACGTTGTGATGTGATGAAAACGGTGTCAGCCAGTGCACCGCCAGATTATGAACCCACACCACGAGGACGGGTAAATTGATCGGTAAAACCCACAGCATTAAAATGAGTATTGAATAGGTGTAGTTGAAGAAGTTGTACGCCGAACCAGACCGGGAATCTTTTGCATGCCGCAACGCTCGCGCGCAGGTGAAAAGCTGTACAATGCAGGCCACAACGTAGGCGAAGGGGTAGGGAATTATGGTCGCAACCAGGAACAATAGGACAGCCGTATTGATGACTCGTCGACGAGGGGTACTTGCCACGAAGGCGGACGCGATGGCTTTCTCACCGTCGTCGACCTTGATGTATCGATGCGAGACCAGGCTTGATGCAATGACAACCGAGTGGAGGAATCCCAGGATGGCGTAATGCAACACCACACAAGCGCCAACACTGAGCAAGCCTGCTAAAGGAACGAGAAACCAGAAGAATGTGTCCTGCGATCCGAGCAGAAGATCATTTTGCGCAAAATCGATGGCTGTCCCGTTCTTTTGCGAATAATGCGCTGGTACCAGATGCGCTGAGCCTGCAGTCGTGAAGGCGGTCGCGAAAAATGTCATCGACAACATTAGAACTGGCAAAGGGAGTCGCAGGCTTTGGTCGAGGCTTTCCGAGAAAGAGATGAAGATTCCCGAGTTGTCGTAAACCCGGAACTGCTTCCGCAGGACCATGGCGACGACCAGCAGAGGAAACACTGCAAAGACCGTGCGATATCGGATCACGAGCTTGCCCAGGCTACCAGTAAGGTCTGCTCGCAGCCGAATCTCCAACGACGAGTCGCAGGTGGGATCGGACCAGATTTGAAAGGCCACCCCGGCCTTCATGTCGCGGCCATCAATACTGGGTGGCAGAAATGGCGCCACACCGTGGAGGTTGACATCGCCCTGTTTGAAGTTGACAAAATATTTCGACTCGTAGGGATTGTCGATATGTTGCCTCACTAGTGGAGTGAACAGCTCCGTATCAGCAGTGCAGCCGTGTTGCCGAATCTGCAGTGTGTATGCTAGCAGGCTTGATCTGATAGAGGGCACACGAATTTCGGTAACCATCGGCCGACTGGGTGGAAGTTCCAGGTTGAGACCTCGAAGCAGGAGCATTGGCAAGCTCACGTCAGAAGCAATGACGGAATCAGCGGCAGAGACTATTTCTGCCTGAACCCAACCGTTGTTGATCTCCGTGGATTTGTCGATGATTGCCACGAACTGATGATCTTGCAGATCTCGCAAGTCATATTTCAAGTACGTGAAGGGAGGTACTTGGTCGAAGGCGTTTTGAGACAGCCTTGTTGATGCAGGCAGATGTATGGCGTCTCCGGTCGGCTTTTTGCAGGCGAGTCGTGTTGCACTGGGATCTCCAGGTGAAAGATCAAACTGAATGGGTAAGGGTGTGGACGTCAAACCCCCCGCCAGTGGGAATGCACTGCAGAACAAGACTTCCATCTTGTCAAAGCTGCCTTGCTTATCCATGAGTTGGTCGGTCAAAAGGGAGAATAATTTTGAGGTAGTATTGTCCACTGAAGGAATGGGTAGCAGGACCGCTGACATGTCGTCCTGAGCGCCAAGCTGGCGAAGGGTAATGTTGTTCTCCTTGGTCACGGCCGATCTCGAACCATCTCCCAAGGTGAGGAGTACTTCATGGGGTGCTTCACGTATGTTCTTTGGTGCATTGTCCTCGAGACCTGTCAAGAACCACCGTCTAAAAATCTCGATTCGTTCAGCTCGTGGTTTCGTCTGGGCCGCTCGTCGAACGTCCACCACGTCATACAATGAACGGATGATGACTTTTCGCATTTGATCTGCCCAAGTGATGGCCAAGTGATCCATCGAAGTCCAGACATTAGGAATCGTGGAACTGAAGACCGTGAAGCCATGGCTCTCCGGCACTAGCGAAGCAATGTTTGTGTAGTCTGATGGAACGGTTGTGTCTCGACCACCTCCGGCGATAGATATCAAGGTTGTGTGCCAAAGGGGCCTATTGCTAGCCCAACGCTGCAAATATGAATCCCGCCAATAATCATTCACTTGGCCGTACAAGGAAACGACGTCAGCGTCAAAGGAGACCGGAGGCCGTGCATGAGGTGTCGACATGGTAATTATGGTATTGACCGAGTTTGCCTGATACTTCGGCGTTACAAGTACTGTGCGGGCAACAATTCCACCCATTGAATGTCCGATGAGGATGACAGAGCTTGGATCCGGTAGCTGAGGGTCATGGTGTAGCCGGTTACCGTCGACATAAAGCGACAGAATGTAGGCGATAGCTTCGTTGACATATTCGGCTTGATCCAGCAGTGTTTGGCCATGGAAAGCAGACAGGTCTTCGTTGAAATTGATGGTGAAGAAGTCCAAAGATCTCACGCCGGCTTTGACAGCCTGGGCATCGTGCCGCAATACGTTGTGATAGTAGCGCGATGACTCGGATGAAAGAGATCGCACTTGTTTGTAGCTACCCGCATTGCCCGGAATAAAGAGCACGGGAGCACCTCGTAGGCCAATGTTGTCTTTTGTGTACTCGTCCACCCCCTCTTCCCGGTACAGATACAGCGAGTATTTCGTTGCGAAGCGGGAGTGTTCCGTGTCGAAGCCGGAGAGTTTGATATAAGTCGGTGCCATCATAGACATGACACATCCTTGGGGGTCTTGTTGCAGTTGAAACGACGAACGAACAATGACAAGGAGCGACAACAGGGCCACGGCAGTCGTAATGAGCGTGAGAGGCTGCCATGTCCACGGGCTTGAAGCCTGAGCTCGAATCTTGCGGAAGCCTCGTACATCGTTGTCGGCGTGGCTG